CTTCTAGATGGTAAAGGTAATTGACCAACTTTATTCACATTTCCTGGGGAACCAGCATTAGATACAGCAAAGCAATTATATATCAAAATATAGACGCACCTCAGAGGCAGGGTGGGAACCATCGGGAAATTGTGGAGATGTTACCCAGCAAGCTATGCAAGCAAATCTCAGGTGGCTACAAAAGAGCCCAGTCTAAGTAGCTTTCCAAATTATAAGGCAAAAGGGCTGTTGAAATTCCTTTACCTCATACAAAACACTGGGACCATGAGACACTGGTGTGAGTGGAAAGGGAAAAAACTCCAAGTCTAAGGTGATTCTCAAACCACAGTGATTTGGACAAACCTTAGAACCCAATATAATCCTTTCAACCTGCTTGAATTTGGGTAAAATAATAAATCTGGCCACACTAGTAACTTGAGGTTTTCTTTGGTTTGGTTACAAATGACTTTCCGTGGAAATAAAAGAAGAAAACCGCTCTCCAGGACCTCAGTGTATATGTGAATATATGTTCAATCCTCACTCCCAATATTGTGGTTGAACTCAGGTATTTCTGTGTGACATTAAAGTTGGCATGGAAAGGAAAGGATTCATAACTACAGAGGTATAGGTTAATCTGTGCTGTAAATATAAGGCATTATAAAGTTTGTAGAACCTATGAGAATTCTTTGCAATGCCTTTAATTCTGAAAACAGTAGCTTCCATTTAAATTACAAGCTCTCAATCAAAGAGATTCATAAAAATTCCCCCTTTCCTGATTAATTGTCAAATGAATTTCTTCAAGGAGGAGGCTGCCTCCTTCACTAACACTGCCTTCAAATGAGAGCAGTAGCTGGATAGGGCTTAGACTGTGTTAAATGATCCATTTCCTTCCCGTGAGGTTCGTCTTGGGGTCCTATTTCATTACCTATGCATGTCTCTCCACGTAAGAAGTCTGTGAGGTAAATTTTCTCACCTATCCATTAAGTACAGACACCATGCAAAGACGTCAGAGAGGAGAAACAAAGTCTCCTTCTCCACCTACTCCAAATCTTCCCCCTTCTCTTTCTGCTGTCTCCTTCCATGTACTCTTGTTACTCAACACTTCCCCAACAGAGGGAATACCTAACATCCTAAAAACAGACAGCCCCACTGCTCTCAACAACCTTGAATCGGAGCAAAGCAAACTGCTTGCTCACTCCACAGAATTTATGACATTCTTTAAGAAAATCTGAAAAACAAGAAACCTAGTTCTCTGAGATGATATCAAGTTCCCTTCCTGGATGGGTAATGGCTAAAACCCACCTGAAGGGACATGGCAGCTCTTCGGCTGTTAGTGACATTAGCACATCAGTCTTGGCCACCTTGCCTCAGACACACTCTTTCTAAATGGCAGGAAACTCATCTCAAACTCCAAAGGCATATAAAATCAAGACCAAAGCACTGAGGAGGCCCAGGAGTTTCTACTCATAGAATGTTCTGGAACAAGAACAAAAAGAGGTCTGAGGTGATTAAAGGTCACATTTCTTCATCCCAAATGCCTTCCAGGGAGAACTAGCTTTCATCAGCCTTTCCAGACTTCCATGTCCCAGATCACTCTCCACTTTCCCATTTTAACAAAGCATCTAAATAAATACAGACAATGCAGTCTTAGTGGGGTTGCACTTTCAAATTAGACACTGTGAAGTTGCTTATGTGCATGCAAATAAAATGTCATGCTCATCAGGGGAGCATACTTTGGCATCAAGTAATATATGGTAAATGGCACATAATCTGATTGAGAGGAAACATCTCTATGCCTCAGGAGTTTCAATTTGGCTGAATCTACTTGTGATGGAATCAACTGTGTTGTGGACACCACAGCAGAGACAAATTTACCCTTTAGCCTGAAATAGCGTGTAGTCTTTTCTCAACACCAAAGGCAGTCCTGCCTAATTTTCCATCCATTCACTCACTCATCACATATATTCTACATACCCACTGCATTCAGGCACCATTCTGAAACAAGGATACAAGGCCATGAAAGGCCAATAAAGCCGTGTTCCTGACCTCTCATCGATACAAACATAGTGTGTTCAAACCATACAAAGAAACAATTAAAAGCAATAATGTACAGGAGTGAATATAATAAAAGCAAATACCGAGTAATAGGTATTTGATAAGTATTAAATGCATACGATGTGTTAATACAAATAATTGCTAATTATTCATCCAAGCACATGCAGAATGCTATAACTATTAGCAAGTGGAAGAAAAGTTACCCAACACAGAAAATGGTTTCCCTAAGAAGGAAACATTGAAACTGGATGGACGAGATGTTAGGGAAAACTTTATGATGAGAAAAGAATCCACCAGTTTAACTACGTAATAAGTCAAAAGAGCTAAAGCATTAACTGCAGAAAATCTTGGCTGTGTTTATGGAAGGCTGTTTGATTTATATAACCACACAATTCTCTGAATGGCAACCAAGTAGCTAACTTCAATGAAGTCCAAAGTGATCCAAAACTAGACCTTCAGGAAAGATCATTGCTAAGCCTGCAAGAGATTCTTTACTCTTCAGTCCCATCTGTTAATGCTGAAAAGCAAGGAATATAAAATGGATTGAGGTACATGAATTTTCCAAAAAGAAGACTACTGACTCACCAGGGATAGAAATAAGTCAACAAGAGACAAGAACAAAAGAAAGATACTTTTCTTCAGTGGCCCCAACAGTGGAATAGTAACATCGTCAAAATAGAGACCAATATTAAACCAAAGTATGCCATCAGATAAGATCATTTCGCTGTACTTTAAATAATTCAGTTTAAGAATAGCATGCCTTCTCATGCTGCATCTGGGGCCATACAGATCTGAGTGGCCTGTGCTGCCACAAGGTGCCATGGTGACATCTGGGCCCTAACTGCAGCTGGCCCTACCACAGCCAGGGCCTGTGATGATGTCCATGGCTTATGATAGCTTTGAAGGCCATGCAGATTCCAGGAGTTTGGGCCATGACCTGGGACCACGTTGGTGTCCATGTTCCTAACCCTAGGGCCATGTCTGGGTCATGTTCCTGCTGTAGCTAAGGTCTGTGATAATACCCATGGCCCATGTTGCCACAGGGAGTCATAGGAAACACACATGCTGAAATCTGAGGGCTGGCCCCATCCTTCATTGGCCCTGGGATAGCTGGCTCTGTTCCTCACTGGACACTGCAGCAGGAGAGCTGGCCCCCAAACTCAGGAGAGATGGAACCACCTCTCACCATGAGTGTGGAAGAGCTGGCATAGACCTAAGAGAGCTGGCTCTGTCCCTCACCTGAGGGTCAGACTCAGTGGCCCCACCCAAACAGCTCAGCTACCACCGGTATCCACATCCTGGGCTTTGGGCTGGCCTACCCTGACATCTACCCCATCTATGACCTGCTGGAGTGGATGAACAGACTGGTCCTAAGGGATAACAGCCAACCCCAGGATCCCCATAGTCAACAGCAAAATATCTGAAAGGAGTTTTATATAGAGTAACAGAAATGGGCTAAGTTTAAGTGTAAGAACTAGTCAGTAGTAAGCCTGAGCTAATGGCCAAGCAGTTTTAATTAATATAAGCTTCTGTGTGTTTACTTGGGTCTGAGCAGCTGCGAACCAGGCAGGACACACAAAAAAACTTCAGCCACAGAGTTTCAGTGAGGGTCTAGTGACGATGGTGTGCCAGAGGCCTTGAACCAGACCAATGACTCATTGCAATGAACATTTTGTGGGTGGGGCTGATTGGACAAAAGGGTATATACTGTGTGACATACTGCAGCTCCCAATGCCACTAGGATGAAGGAAGAAGTGTTGGGAAGATGGAGGAGTAAAATGGGTTTTTTTTTGTTTTGTTTTTAATTATTTTGGGGTCTCTTTTGGGTGGGATGTTGCAGGAGTGAGGGAAGGATATGAAGGGACTGGGAGGTGAGAAGGATTGGAGTGCATGATGCGACATTCCCACAGAAGCAATAAAGAATTATGTTGAAGAAAAGAAGAGGAAGAGGAAAAAGAAGAGCAACTCCTCAAGGGAAGCACCAAGTGAAGAAAATGGGTCTTGTGAAAATAAATGTTCAGACAAAGGCAACATTTAGCTTGGCCTTGTAACAAAGTGATAGAAACAGGTATTTCTTTGGATTCTACGGAAGAAACGTTGTAAAGGGATATATATATATATATATATATATATATATATATATATATATATATATATATATATATAATGTATGTATAGTCAAAAGAAGACTCCAAGAGTAGGAACTGTGATTACTATATTTGCTGATGTTTTGTTTTATTCTGTTTGTGGCCCTAGGGATACAGTCGAGGTTTGGGAAATCCTAGGCAAGTGCTCTACCACTGAACTACCATGAGCTAGTGCCCTGGCGAATATCTATCTCTAAACATATAATGACTCCAAATACATAAATGTTATCTACCTTAATAAACTTTGCTTTGAAAGTATCCTTCAAGTAAGCATTAATTATGCCATAAAATGGCCCTTGTCTGTTTCTCTTCCAGGTGGAAAGACAATTCTCAACAGTCTTCACTGATGAAACATGACAACTTGACATGAGAAGCTCCTCAGTCATGTGACTACCCACCGCTGTGACATGCTATCTTTATGACAATCCAACTCTGATAGATATACAGATAAAATAGGGATTCAATCTAATTTAATACAGAAACGATGATGCACTTGCCCTAATTCAAAAGAGACACTGGTCACTTAAACATGTCCCCCTAATACTTGTGTTTAACACTCAGTTTGAACTGGATGTTGGTCTTTTAGCATCAATTCATCTGTGTAAATGGACATTTGTTTCCCTAGGTGCCATCCCCATCTTGACCACTTTACTTGAGCAAACACTGAAGCAGATGAAGAAAGATAAGAGAAGCCTTAAAATTCACCACTTTTTTTTCCCAAAAAAATAGAAAGATTCTTGATTTCTATGTATTGGTGAAATTATTAAGGCAACTCCACATAGTTAAAAGGGAGGTTTATTTTGTGGGGTAACTCACAAGTAAAGGGATAGGTAACAGGGTCTGGGAAAGGTGTAGCACAGTCCGGTGCTGTTCTTTGGAGAACTCTGCTCTGTCTACCTCCAGCGTCCAGGCTCCAGGAACCAAGAGAGCTGGTGCATCGGGATCTCTGGTCTTCAGGGTCCTCTCTCGGTCCACCTTGTAGGCGTGACAGTTACCGAAGCCTCATTGGGGGCTGGAACTTCCAGATCAAAGCTGGAATGGCTACCCACTACATCTATAACTAGAAAAATTAAAGCTATAAGACAATGACATCATTCCTTATTTCTTTCTTTGTGGTGAAATGAAAATTTCTCCACCATTGTGTCTTTCAGCCTTCATTAAATATCCCCTGCAGATGAGGGGAGTTTAAAAACTAATAATTACAGTGCACAGGGATTTCTGCTCCTAGAAAGGTGTAGTACTGTGAGTTCGAGGCCAGCCTGGACTACCAAGTGAGTTCCAGGAAAGGCGCAAAGCTACACAGAGAAACCCTGTCTCGAAAAACCAAAAAAAAAAAAAAAAAAGAAAGGTGTAGTAGTGTAGTAGATATGGTCTCCCTTATTTCTTCTAAGAACTGTCAAAACCCTGGAAGATACAAATAAAATAAATACAAGGTGGCTGTGAAAGAGGAAAAAATGAAGCAAACATCAGGACCATGGACCACAGGCCCAGTGCTGAGTTCCCAAGTTGCCTTCCTATATACAGACTTAGAACGAAAAAAAACCATCAGCCTGGAAACACCGTGATCTTGACAAAATGAAAAGGTTTGCTCTGTCATCTAGGGGGCATATTAGGAAGACAGAAAACCTTCAGATGATAACTGCTCTATCCCAGTAAAACACTACAAATATATAATAGGTAAATAGATGACAGATCCACCTCTGTGCACTGCACAAGGGCCGAGCAGAGAGCCTAGGTAACCCATGCTGCACCTGGCTATGATGTATCACTTCAGTCCCCCCCACAAACCTAGAGGAACCATTAACAATGCTATCCAGAATATACATTCCTAAGCACTAGAGAAAAACCAAAATTACACTGTAAAAAAAATCACAAGTAATCTATAGAAATATAGGAAAAAGAAACCGAGAAGGGAAAAGTCCTGAGGAAAAAAATAAAGGAAAACAGAAAACATCAAGCTTGAATCAACAGGAAGTAAAAATGTAGTAAATGGAATGGTCTGATTATCCCATAGAGTAGATTAAAAATTTGGTCCAAATACATGGTCAATTAAAACATCAGGAAGGGTTAAAAGTGAAAGATAGCAAGGACAGAACATAATCTCTACTGAATAAGATAAGCTACTGGATAAAGGAGATGTCAGACTAAAGGATACTAATAAAGACAGAGAGGAACATTACAAGTTCGAAAAAATGTTATGTTACCATGAAAGCATGGCAATCTCAATTCTAGAGGAGAGAGAGACCTAAGAGACCTGGAAGGAGAAATAGGAAAGCCCAAAGTTAAACCCAAATCTCTCTCGATCTCTGGTGGTACAACAGAGAAAATCACCAAGGAATTGAACTCAGCATCTGCAACTAGGGACCCAGTCAACATGAATTAAATAATCTACCTGTCAGCGACAGGACACACTTTCTTTCCCAGTGTCTATGAATAACATACCGAGTTAATATACTAAGCTGTAAAACTCATCTCAGCAAATATGGAGGAAGTGAACTCACGCAGGGCATCCTCCAGCTGCAACAGAATCAAATTAGAAATCAGTAGTACACAGCTAAGAAGATAACCATCCACCAAATACATGGAAACTAAACAGCATACTTACAATCAGCAGGTCCAAAAAGTAGTTCCAAGAGAAGATGTTTAAAATCCATTGACCTGAGTGGAAATAAAAATACAATACGTTAAATTTTGTGCTGCATCATAAAAGTAGTGCTGAGAGGAATTTCTGAAGACCAAATGTATACTTTAGAAAGAAAAGAAAGAAAGAAACATCCAAATCAATAACAACAGCTCCCAACCGCAAGGACCTAGTGAAAGAAGAGAAAAACAAGCCAAATGAGTGGAAGTGGGGAGACAGTGGAGAGCAGAAATCATTGAAGCTGAAAACAGGAAGGCCAGAGTTAAATAAACAAAGAGATGCTCCTATTAAGAGATCAATAAAATTCTTAAATCCTCAGCAGTGCAAAGAAATGAAAGGAACTCAAGTTAGCAATACCAGGAATAAAAGGGCAGGTCTCTCTACAAATACCACAGGCATCAAAGAGATAATGTGGGCACAGTACATGCCATCCTGAACACATCAAGCTGACAGCGCTGATCGAATAAAACAACCCTCTGAAAAACACAAACTGCCAAAGCTCACCCCACAGCACATAGATCATTTGAATGGCCCTGTACCTACAGACGCTGAATTTATCATTCAAAAAGCTATATATATATATATATATATATATATATATATATATATATATATATATATATATCACATTATGTATGTATGTATGTATTCAAATTCAGGTAGTTTTTCTGTTTTGTCTAGTAAATGTTGAAAGAGGACTGAAAAGTTCAACACAATTTCTTCCAAAAAATATAGAAGGACTAGGAAGGAAATCACCTCAATTCATTTTATGAGACCACCATTATTCTGATACCTAAACTAGTCACAAGGAGCCTAGAGACAGAAAAGTAGAAATTCTTAAGAAAATATTAACAACTAAAGTTCAAAAATATTTTTTAAAAATTATCACATACTACAACAAAGTAAAGATTTTCTGGGAAAACATCACCCATCTTGCTAGAAAACAAAAGAGGAAAATGATGAGTATATCAATCTGCAAAAAACATTTGACAGAATTCCACATTCACAGATAAAACTTCATGTGGAAAAAAAAACAGAGCTGGAGCAGGGTCTGGTGTCACAGGACTGTCACCCCAGCTGTTTGGGATGCTGAGGAGGCAATATCCAAAGCCAGAGCCCCCCTGGGCTACAGCCTGGGCTCAAGAACAAAGGGCAGACCTTGGTGATATTCTGTCTCAAAATAAAAAGTAAAAACAGGGCTACAGACATAGTTCAACATCAGAGAACTTGTCTAGCCTGTGCAGGACCCTGAGTTCCATCCCTAATCCTAGAATGGGAAGGGTGGATGGTGACTTTAATCTGACAAAATGAATTCACAAAAAAACCTACAGAGCTAACATCATTCACAACAGTAAACTACTAAAAGCCTTTCCCTAGGGTAAGAAATGGGCAAGAGCATCTACTCCTATTCAACAGGGCACTTAAGTTACAGCCAGTGTAATGCTATTTTTAAAAGAATGTCCTCATGCAATATATTCTAACCACATTCCCTGGCCCCACCATCTCTCAAATCCTACTAGGTCCTCTCTACCTCCCTACCCATCCAACACTATACCCTTTCCTTCTTTCTTTCTTAGAAATCAAACAAGCACTGGGGGAAAAGGTAATTTAATTTTTAAGGGATTTTATTTATTTAAGGGATTTAATTAAATCCACACAGATTAGAAGGGAAAAAAATAACATCGACTTTATTTGCAGGTGACGTAATCTACACAGAAAAGCCTACAGAATCTGTCTTCTAATGTCAAGAGTTAATGTCATTTCAACAACATGGTAGAATGTTAAGCACATATTCAAAAATTAATTTTACTTCTACATATTAACAATGAGCACATAGAAACCAAGTTTTAAAACTTAATAAAATATATTTGAGTGATTAAAATGGAATACTGACCTACATGTTTATCAATGCATGTATATGGTTGGACTACTCAAAATGGTAAAGTATCATCCAAATAAAACCAGGGGAATTAAAGTGAAGAACACAAGCATATTCCTTTAGTGCGAGCTGCGGCACAATAAGACACAATTGCCCCAAAGACAAATTCATGTCCTATCAGTGTCACAGAAAAAGTTGATGCAGAAAGGATTATGCTATCTCATTTACATGATGCTTTAAAGGGTTTAGAATTCTCTGAAAGTTTTTGAAAAAAGAATAAGTGGAGATGAATCAGCCTATTCGATTTCAAGAACTATCATGTGGATTGGGGGGATGGCTCTGTGGCTAAGAATGCTTTCTGCTTTTGAAGAATTTGGTTCCCAGCACCCATATCAGACAACTCACAACTGCCTTTAACTGCAGAAGAGGGTGAAACAGTCTCTTCTGACCTCTACAGGCATCCTCACACACATGGCATTTACTCACACAAACACACGTAGATAAAAATAAATGAAACACATCTCAAAGAACTATCATGTAGCTAGAATAATCAAGACTGATATTGGCAGAAGGAGAGCCACATTGACTAATGAATCAGAATTCAGAACTCAGGAAGAAACAAAAACAAGAATGACCAACTGATTTTTGTTAAGGGTACAAAAGCAATCCAGTTCAGAGAATGGTCTTTTCAATAAATGGAACCAAGGCAAAGGAATTCATGGGGAATAGAAAGAATGTAAAACTCAGCTATATATAACATCTCTATAAACATCTCTATATCACCTATGAGATGACCATGTGGACAGTGAATGGGATCTATTTATATTGTTTATTATAACATTTGTATATGCAATATATTTGTATATGCAAAATATATGGTTTTTTTATTCTTTTTAAAATTATTTTTCATGCAATGTATTTTGATTATATTCTTTCCTCTCCCCAATTCATCCCATATCCTCTCTGTTACAAAATGCTTGTTTACATTGTGTAAAGATGTGTCACTGTGATTGGTTTAATAAAGAGCTGAATGGCCAATAGCTAGGCAGAACTTCTGGGCAGGGAGAGGAACTTGGGATGAATCTAGGCACATGTGAGACACCAGCTGGAAACTGAAGAAGTAGGACATACAGTACAGAGGAGAGGCAACCGAGCCACCACGTGGCAGAATGTAGATTAATAGAAACAGGTTAATTAAAGCTATAAGAGCTAGTTGGGAAAAAGCCTAAGCTAAGGCCAAGTTTTCATAATAAAGAATAAATCTCACTGTCATTATTTGTGAGCTGGAGACCGAAAGGAAAGTTGGACTACACCTCCCTGTTTCCCTGCTCCACTCAACTTCACATTCTTTCTATCTCTCAAAAAAAAATCAACAAAAAATAACTAATCAAAACAAGCATATAAATAGAAAACAAGAAACTTGGAGTCTATTTTGTGTTAGCCAACTATTCCTGAGCATGGTATCGTTGGGGTCTAACTTGGATTAAAATAAATTTTTTATTAAGCAAATTTATTGTATGTTTTAATTAGAGAAAATTTCTTAAGGGTACACAAATATTTGTAATACAATGTATGTTTAATAATCAACAGAGGGATAAAATTTCTTTAGGAAAAATAGTATGGTCATCAAAGGAATTTCCAATGACCTTTCAAAGAGCAGGGTTTTGGACTGACTCTTGAAAAATGGGAGTGGTTTCCAGCTTTCCCCTCCTCTTTACAATGCCCTTTGTAGAGAAAGCCAGTTTAGTTAATAGTGAGATAGTTAATAACTGAAAACCAATGTTGGGCAGTTTTCTACCACCATGTCAGTTCTTTGCAGTCTGGCTATAATGTTAAATCACTGATGCGTCATCATAGACATAAAGTGCTAGGAAAGCAATAAATCACAGGAAACTGCCATTTTCAAAAGGGGGTGCTTATCTATTCAGACATTTAGTAATCGCTTGCAAATCCTGATACCAGTTACATGCTCCGATGCTACACTGACGGAGCACGGTCTAAAACATCCGTTAAATACAAGGTAAAAATCATAAAACTCACAAAGAGAGGCATTCTGGGCCAGGTATATCTTATAGACAGTGATTTTCAGGATAGCTCCTGTGTAAGAAACTATGTGTAACATCTCTTCATCCATACAATGATTTGTGGGTTCTTTGCAAAGATTTTAGGACCTTGTAGGGGAAATGAAAGCACTTGTAAACATTTGTAAAAATTTCTCCACAATAATTTAATAGTCATCTCATAGTGGAATTGCAACCGGTCTCCCTAAATATGAAATATCTTGTCATTTCACATTCTTCATAATTATTTTATTAGTCTAGGAAAGGACTTCGAAGCCTTGGTGCTCTTGTTGCTGTGGGTCAATACACTGTGACTAAGAGTGCTTGGTGCTCCTCCAGATGACCTGGGTTCAGCAGAGTGTGCAATATGTAACATTTAGCAGCACTCCTTCCCACTAAATAAGAATGCACTACCCACACCAAGCTGGAGCAATAAAAAAAAAAATCTCTAGGATTACCAAATAGGGCAAAATTATCCCTGGGTTAGAACAACTAGTTTAGTAATGCTATTGTCATTTGAAAATAACAACTAATATAGGAGAGGTTGAACAGATAGCCAAAAGTCAGGCTATGCTAAACTGATGGAGCATGGTATAAAACATAAGATGGCCATGATCCCAAAATTTTCCACTATACCTACTTTCTTATTAAAGAGTTCTCCTCCTGGAGAGAAAGACAGAACTACAATTTAGTGTTACAAAAGAATTTGAAGGGACTTTTCAATTTACTTAGGGAATGCCAAAAGCACTATGGATTCAAAGAAGATCTTTCTAGGATAGACAAGGAGTAGTAGGTAGATTCATTTTTTCCTTCCTTAAAACAAATCACTATGAGTGCAGTAGCTAAAACCAACACACATTTATTATCTCACAGACTACTTCCTTGGGTTTGGGTCATAGTGTGGCTCTTAGGATCTGGTCTCCAGAGGCTAAATGTAAGATGTTTCCCATGCTGCTTTCACTTACAACTCAGAAGCCTTCCAAACTTACTAACTGGTAAAAAAGAATTCATTTTCTTATCATATGACCAAGGTCTGCATTTTCTTACTGGCTGCTCTGTGTGGCCAGGGATCTTATCTTAGTCCTATGGCCACAATGGCATCCTTGTCACATGGCCCACTCAGCTAAAGACTGTGATAACTGAATTTTCAAGATCAACACAGAAGTTAGTTCCAGGGACCCACTTAGCTGGGTCTGACAAACCCAAGTTACCTTCCTAGTGATCAATTCAATGGATTCATTTACCTGAATCATTTCTACAAAATCCTTTTCACCTGAGAAATTTATCTTTTCCTTATCATCTTTTCATCATTCCTCACCTAAAGTTTCACAATCATCTATATAAAGTCCATTCTGACATTTGCATTTTGTAATGTTTATTTTTGGGGGAAGCAGGGCTAAGACAGGGTATCATAGCACATACTCACCTAGAACTACCTTCATAGCCCAGGCTGGCCTCCAACTAACTATCCTGCCTTCCAAGTGCTGAGATTACAGGTCTGGGGTACCTCACATCCTTTGATTTATTTTCTAAATGACATTTTATTCCTATCTCATTTTCCAAATTTCCTAAGATCTTTTAGGACAGGAAACGTATATATTCTCATTGGTGCATACCCAGCCTCACATAAACGATTACACTTAAAAATTACTGGTACACATGACAAATCAAATCCCTTCTAAACTCAACTAGATGCTGCATTCCAGATCTGTAAACCTGGGAAGAGAAAGGATGTGTGCATAAATCTTCCTTCACAGTGCCCACATTCCCAGGGCTTTTTTCCACTTGCTAATTCTCTACAAGAAACTGGACATCAGTTCTGCTCCACTTTGACTACGTGCGGTCTAGATAGGGAGCTTCAGGCTCCAGTATGTTTTTATAATGTCTCATAATGTAAGGAAGCATAGTTTTCCAGGCGTGTTTTTAATAATGGAGCTTTTCCTTTCCTATGTCCAACGCAGACTCAGATACACAGGCAAATCTTAAATCAAGGGTTGGTATTTGTGGGGTGGAAGAGTGGAAGGATGGGAAATGAAAATGATATATTTATTAGTAAGTATTTTCTGAACTCTGAAAATGTTCCACTCTGTAACTGTAGTGTACTGAAACATTTCCCTGTTAGGAGGCATTCAATCTGTGCGAAGAAGGAGGAGGAGGAGGAGGAGGAGGAGGAGGAGGAGGAGGAGAGGAAGGAGGAGGAAGAGGAGGAGGGGGAGGAGGAAGAGGAGGGGGAGGAGGAGGAGGAGGGGAGGGGGAAGGGGAGGGGGAGGAAAGAATTGCAAGGAAGCCTATGCAGGGAGTGAATGGGTGCAGAGAAGAACCTCTAACTACATTTGACTTAGAACTCAGGCCACCAATCAAGGGAGGCACTCCAGGGGTAACTCTCTCTGTTAAGCCCTGAAGGAAGGACAGAATTTAGATGTGGCAAGGAGACTAAAGAAATGTTTTCCACACAAAATGAATACAATAGACTTAGGATGAAAAGTGAGTTACGCTAATGTAGGAGGCTAGTCATAGCCTAGAAAGAGTCTTAGAGAGCAAGATAAAAAGATTCAGGCTATCTTTTGCTAAAGAGGCGGTAGGAAATCCTCAGAACTGTTGACCACAAGATGTAGCAAGAGATGGTGCTGAGCACAGAAGGAAGGATGACTGGAGTGAGCGTGGGCAAGTGATGAAGGGCGTCTGGGAGACTGGAGTGATTTTCCAAGAAATGGAAACAAAGCAATAATGGGAAACTTGGAGGGATTTTAGATTATCTGGTTTTGGTAGCTCACTAGGTGTGGAAATGAAGGTAGAAACTGAATTAAGAATGACATGATAGCACTGGCATGGTCATCTGGGTAGATATTGTACTGCTCACTGAGAGGAATGTAGAGGGGTAGATTCGGGAGATACACGGGTCACTGCTTCAGATTCGGGAGATACACGGGTCACTTCTATAGCTGATTCTGGCTTAACACCAGCAGCTAACTGAGGTGTCAGGATAGCAGCCTTCCCAAAGCCCTGCATTTCTCCTGTCAGGTGTTCCAGAATGGACATTGTGGCCTGGGTTCCCTCTACACCACTGGCCACAGTCCATTGCCCAGTTGTTAAATGGGACTTCATGTTAAATGTGTGTAGGTTCAGAAGGCCTTACCTCTCAACTGAAACGTGAAATCAAAGCACTGGTGGATTAAGTGTGTCTGTCTGCCCAGATGCTGTACCTGCCACATCAAAGGCACTTCACACTTGCCATAGGGGATGGCTTCACAACCTGGGAAATAAATTTGAAATGTATGAGCTCCTTGAAACCACAGAATAGGACTGAGTATGACTTGAATTATGGAAATACATTATATTCATCATGGGGAAAACCCAGTGCAAATTGTTGAATTTGAGGCCTTTTAACAAAAGAAGTAAGAGACCACAGCCGAAATTATTAGATGACAAGGTAGACTTTTCAAATCCTGGGATAGGAAACCATGTCTATATAGATATATGGGTCTATAAAAAGTGTTCACCCAGACTGTAACTTTTTACTAGTTTTCCCCACATTTAACAATGCCAGCTTCACCCCCTCTGCACTACCCACACTTTCCTATGGGAGCAACAGTTGCAAAAACATTGCTAAGAAACTAAAGGGCACTGGATCAAGGTTGCCATTCACATTAAGGAAGATCATAATATATTTTTTTGTCGTAACATAGTAAGTTTTTGTTGGAACAAAAGCTAATTGTTTTCACTTATTGAAAACAGTACAGTTGATCACTTATAATTTTGAATTTTGCTTTTTTTTTCTGCCATGGTTTTGGGAGAATAACAAATACATATTGGAATGCCAAGTAATTAGTCCTATCCAGTCACAAAAGAAACCATTAATCTATACAAAAATTATCTTCGTTCTTGTAACTGTTTTATGAGAACCATTTGGATGTTTATATGAGGTTTATATGTTACTTCCACGTGTGATAAAACTTTGTAAATATTTGAGTCCTTGATCTAAGTATGATGTCAGGCTGTTCATAACTTGCCTAACAATACCCACTACATAGGTAGACAAGTATCGTTCCTGGGGTCTTTATACATCATCTCGCTTAATCCTGACAAGACATTTCTACTATGGTAGATATTTCCTTGGTTTTCTAGATAAGTAAATGAAGTCCATAGAGACTTGGACTCCGGTCACATGGCTAGCAAGAAGAAAAGACAAGAAGTAAACCCAAGTGTGTCTCATTCCAAAGCCCTGCTTATAACCACATGATTACCAACTATGAGTTTGTGACTTCCTAAGAGAGATGTGCAAATTCTCAAATTAACAAATCTACTTATTCCCTGTCTACATATGTGTAACTGATTAAAACTAACATAGGGCTATGAACATAGCTCAGCGGCAGAACAAACAGTTTTCATGCACAAGGCCCTGTATTCAATTCTCAGTACCAAAAAGAAAAAAAATATATTGACACTGTCATAGTTTAAATATAATTGACCCCCATAATCTCATAGAGAATGGCATTATTAGGAGGTGTGGCTTTGTTGGAGTGTGTATGACCTTGTTGGAGGAAATGTGCCACTGTGGGGGTGGGCTTTGAGATTTCCTATGCTCAGGATCCTGCCCAGTGAGCCAGTTGACTTCCTGTTGCCTGCAAGATGTAGGACTCTCAGGTATCATCTACCTGCATGCCACCATCCTTGTGCATGATGATAATGGACTGAACCTCTGAAACTGTAAGTGAGCCACCCCAGTTAAATGTTTTTCCTTTACAAGAGTTGCTGTGGTCATAGTGTCTCTTCACAGCAATAAAAACCATAACTAAGAAAAACACTAACTAAAATAGGGATCACGGGGCTGTGAACAAGGGTCTACAGAAAAAGTGCTTGCCAAGTGGGTTCAGATGCCCAGTTTCTATGTAAATGGTGTGGTGGGCCACCTATAATTCCATCATTCAAAGGTAGGACTTGGGACACCCAGATCAAGCTAACAAGGAGGACTATCCATATCAACAAGGTCTCTATTCAACCAAGAGACCCTGTATCAATGACTAAAGTGAACCGTTATCAAGCAAGATTCCCACCATGTATCTCCAGCCGCCACAAACAAGAATACACACACACACACACACACACACACACACACACACACAAAAAAAAAAAAAAAAGATAAAGATTTAATATTTAATTAAGTATAGGAAAAGATTTATACGTATGTATATACATATGTAAAAAGATTAAAATAGGTGCCAGGTATGGTGGGACATACATAGGCACATGCCCATAATCTCAGTATTCAGTGGGTGAAATCAGGAGGATCAGGAATACAGGTCATCCTGGACTACATAGTGAGCTTGAGACCAACTCGAGCTACAGGAGACCATATCTACAAAACAAGACAAAACAGAACACCCAGGATAAAAAAAATTCAAGCAGTTGTATTTCGTTTGGTATTTTATACTTTAATAAATAATATATAATCATGATATTTTTCACTAGATTAGTTTTATAACATATGTAAGTGCTACATTTAGAGGATTAGCTACCTCTCTGCACACACATAATCCTCAATCAAAGTGAGTTCAAACATGTGCAACTGTAAAACACAAAACAAAGGACTGAACTTAGAGCGTTTGCTTTAACCTCTCGGTCCTGAAACTGTGACCTTTCAAGGGTGCATATCACACATTGGAAGATGAAATGACCTCAGCAGTCCTCTGTAGATTGTCCAGCTCCATGAAGGGTGACGCTAAGCCCTCTACCCATATTATCATTTTCAGGCTTCCTGAGTCCCAGTGGAAAAGCCATCATTCTTTTCTTTCTAGAGAGAAAAAAGTTATGTAGGTGCATAATAAGAAATAGCCTTAGACTTCGTTGCTAGAAATTCTGATTCACTCTGCCTACCGGGCTTGTGCCCATGAAACTCAATGTCACAGCATGCTCCTCAGAACATTTTATAAAGCTCAGAAACTTCTCCGAGATGCTGTTGAAAACCCTGGGTAGCAGAATGTCCATTTTATGCCTGCCATGTGCTGGCAACACGATAAAAGTTAAATTCATTGGCATCTGTAATATACGAACTAATGGATTTAGTATTCTCACAAAATTATGAGTTTTTTTTCCAAATGTCACCTTATGTTCCACACATATTTTCAAAAAGGAATGTTAAGGTTTTAAAGGAGGACTAAACAAAAAATTGTCAACGTAGTTTTATCCAGGTACCAAAAAAAAAAAAAAAAAAAAAAAAAAAAGGAGACATACGCACAGTCTTTTGCCGTACGGGTTATCCCACCAGTTGAGCTGTGACAATAATTTACTATTCGAGAACACAGTTATCCTTCCTACTTTGACATAACTGCTATTTCACTCGCATGGTCTTCTGTCTGTCCTAGTAGCCAGGGGCCGCTTTTCATTCCGTTCATTTGCATCTGAAATTACAGGTTTTGATACCACCACCACAGCCTGTGTTTCAACTTTGAAATATATTGTAGCTAACTCCCTAGGACGGCTGGTCTGGTTCGTGATTTAGTATGACTGCAGTTGTGGTTTTCCAAAGAGCCTCCACCAGCAAAATGCTCTTCTGTGTTCGTACAGAGGAACTCCAGGAGCTCAAGTCTCCAGCTCACGCTGAAAGGGCTTCTGAAAACCGTCTTGAGGCTCTTCCTCTCCTGGTCACAAAGGTAGTCTGTGACCTTGACATCATTGAGCTTCATTTCCATGCTTAATGTTTTGGAAACCTAACAGTGAATTAAAAAGAACAAATATGCTCTGTCTTGCATTCTCCTCCCTGCCCTTAAGCTACCCAAGCATGAGGAGAAATCTTTCTGAGGACCTCGATCAGGGTAGCCATTGTCGCTCTTTCCCATCACTCCCAGGACAGAGTCAGGGCTGTCTCTGAGGCTCCGGGGACACAGCATATTCACCCAGCAGGATTGAAGAAACTGCCCAATACAAGAAAAGAGGGAGGCTTTCCAGCTGGAAGACGATTGGAGATAATCAGTCACTGTTCATTGTTCTCGAGGCAAAAACCCTTAAGTCATGTGTTTGAGGCCATGCAAGGGATCCTCCAAAAGTCAATTCTTTATTTCTTTCATTCACCAAATGTCTATTGAACATGTATTATATCCCAGACCCTGTTCAGGAGGGTAGAGATTAAGAAATAAGAATACCATGCTCCTGCCCCGAGAAGAGTATATAACCTAGTGGGCAGGGAGGCCAGTGGACCATTCGCTTTTCTGTGGCTGTGATGAAATACCAGGACCAGAAGCAACTTATAAAACGAAGAGTTGATTCAGGCTGACATTTCCAGAGGGAGACTCTAGAATAGCTGGTGAAAGAAATGTGGGCAGCACCACTCCTGTGCTTGGATCCTGGGTTTGAATCCTGGACTGTCTAATAATGGAAAAGATGACATACACCATAGGCATGAATCCATTCATTTTCTCTCTGTTCAGCGTGTGTGTGTGTGTGTGTGTGTGTGTGTGTGTGTGTGTGTGTGTGTGACTTCATCAAGTGCCTCCTTTGACTTCATCACAATGGTGGACTGTAACCTCAAAACGTAAGCCAAATAAAGCCTTTCTCAATTAAAGCTGCTTTTTTGGGGGGAAGGGGGTATCTTACTACAACAACAGGAAACAAAACTGGAAAGATTGGTTCTAGAAAACATTTTTCACTGTGTTCTGTAGGGGAACAGATTTGCTCACCCTCTATGAATCTATTTTGTTACCTTTGAGAATGAAACAAACAAAAATCCCCTTTAAGTAGACTGAGGAATAGATTTCTAAGTAGAATGGACCAATCTGATACATCTTTTGCTAGCAGCTCATGGTCACTAGCTAGTTTGCAGCAAAGTCAAGCAGGAAACCTGGCTCCCAGGATGCCAGTGCTGTACAAGGCTCTTGCTGTTAGGTACCACCTCAGTTTCTGCCCAAGATGTTCTTGTACCTGACTAGACCTCATCTAACTACACAGACTTCATGCTTCTCTCCCACCAGTGTTGCTACCTACATCCTTCCCATGTGCTAAAACTCTTCCCCTACTCTGACATAAAGCATAAGTGTACAAGGATAAAGCAAAAGCAAAAAGAGTTCCTGGTAGTTGGAAGCTGAGGTGTAATACCTCATACAGGGCTTGTCCTCGAGCAAATCCAACAAGGACTGACTAGAAGTAGAAGACAAGTCGACTGGAACATTTGGGACAGCACAGAAACGTGGTGAGTGACATGGACACAGAAAATTACCCATTACCTTGAATTTTGACCTCCTGTCTGGAAAGTAGGAGGTG